GTTCAGTTAATCAGAGATACCAGAAGGTTCAGTTTGACTCTAATGTGCACCACAAAAATCAAGGTGTTGTAGAGTAGGGGTGGCCAACCTGCAGCACACATGCCACAAATGGCATAGGCGGCCTTTGTGAGTGGCATACAGAAGACTGGGGAGGGAGCACAATGGCAGATAAAGCAGGAAGCAGAAAGCAGAGCAGCAGAGAAACAGGGTTACAGTGGTACTTGGGAAAGGAAGGAAAGAAGGGCCTTACCTTATGGCACATCTGCCAAAGAAGTTGGGCCTCACAGTTATAGAGCATGTTTGTTAGGTTTTAGTGAAAATGTTAATATTTGATTGCTAAGTCTGTTATTTGTGACAAGTATTTAAGCATGTTATTTTAAAGCTCAAATACCTTAGGTTGTTTAAACATTTTATATAAAACTTGAGCATAATTACACAGGGGGCAAAATAGAGGAACATTTCATCAGCAAAGTAAAAAAGATGCATGAGCTTTCATGAGCTGCAAAACCCAGAGAAAGTCTATAAAGGTCTTTCCAGAAGCCAAGCCAATCAAAACCATCACAGAAAACATCCTTTTATTTGCATTAGAGGGTACGCTATGTTAATGGTCACATCATAAATTCCTTACTTAAAAATTTGAGGTACAGGCAGAGACTGCAAGAGAAGCAAAGAGAACTGAGCAAATTTGGAAAGGCACCAACCAGAAGAAAATATGTTGTCTCCAGCTTTGTAAGTGAAAAGCTCATTCTTTCCCTGCAATTCAGACTGTCATCCTGCCCCCACCATCTGCTTAACCAGTAACACCCAAACTTCCAGCCCTGTGGGCCAGATGAGTGGCATAGCATCACTCCACAGGCTGGAGTCTGCAGTCAGCATGCGGGGTTGGCCCACAGGTGAGATCCAATGTGCTGGAAAGACCCCATACACTTGGATCTAGTTATGTGCCAGGGTGACCCCATGCGCCAGCCCAATCTAGCACACAGGGCCACATTATTTTGCCCACAGGGTTCCCGAAAGTTCAGAAATTTGGCAATTGCAGAATAGCAATTAATGCCGCTACTTCTTCACCACCACCAAGTTTCCAAACCTGTGGGGAGCTACACAACCTGGATGACAGGGCTCCATGAGCAGAATCTGGCCCCTGGGCCAGAAGTTGAGCACCCTATTCTAAACAATAGTTCATTATATTTGCACTGGACCTAGTGAATTCCAAGGTAAAAGTAACAATTAGTTACTGCAAATGATTTTCCTCTCTTCCAAATCTTTTTCTGTAACTGAAGTTCGAATATAAAGTACTGGATTCCTTGGGTAGAAGCTTAACTTTTAATTAACAAAGGAAATCCATGCAAATCCTGACTTTTGCAGAAATGGGTTAGAATGATCAATAAGAACACCCCCCACCACCACCCATAAATTAGTGTGTATGTTGTAGTTACAAGTACATGATGAAAATTTGTAGTCATATTTTCTCAAACTTGGAAATTGTTCTTTTAAAGCAAGATGTGTTAAACAACCTTTTGCTTTTTATAGAAAGATAACAGTATTTTTGGTACACTGCAGTTCCTCAGGGTTAATGTTTGCTACTACCAAATTTCATAGTAATTTTTAGCTAATGATAGGGGAAAGAAAACAAAGCAACAAATATCTGACAACACACAATTTGAGATGCTGCAATACAGTGTGACATTTAATTATAAATCCCTGTCTAACATAAAATGTAGAGAACACCCCACAATTGGACCCTCAATATGGAGATCTGCACATTCATCACGAGAACTCCATTTTGTCTATGTACAGCTGAAAGGCCGTGACAAAAACCAGTCCTTATCTAGACAATAATGACTGTTTCACACAAAGCCCCAAGTATATACTAAATCATGTAAGCTGTTGAAAATGGAATCATTATTCTTTCTTTAGATGTTACCATCAAGAAAACAGAACACTGTTTTATAGAAAATATTAATTTCTGCTTATTCCACCTAAAATATCACATGAGAGAGAACATTGATGACAAGGGGTAAAGTCAGCTGCAGGCATCACTTAAAAGGTCCCTGTTTCTAGCTGAAAATCAAAGGGTACAGTTGAAGTCTACATTTCCAGTTTGAATATCAACAAAAATGATTAACTGTTTTCAGGAAAGAAAAGACCCTCTACTTTGACACTGATATCTCCTTCAAAAAAAACCATTTAAAAAAGCCTCTCATTAATGCATGGAATTATACATTGAAAGGTTAATGCTTATTTGATGATAATATTCTGATTTTAATTTTTGTCAGTTTTACAGTCTAATATTTAACATCCTCTCTCACATGCTGAATCAGTCTTGCATAGTATTTATTGTATGTTGCCTTTAAATTACTCGTCTTAAATTTTTGGTAAGGGTGTGAAAACATTTGTAATAAAAACAAATGACAAACTTCCTGTAACTTTACAGACTGACCATCTAATGAAAATAATTTAAAATAGAAACAAAGCAGTATCAATTTTGGTTATATTACTGATACGATTGATAACAATAAAGTACACTTAATGTGAAACAGTTTCTTTTAAGGTGTTATAGGGTCTATAGATACAATAAGTTATCTGGACTCCTGAAATGAATGTGTGAGAATCTTCTGGGCTACCTGAAATTGCACAAAACTAAGATTAAAGATAAAACAAGGTTAAAATGATTGCACTATTTATGCTTTTGTTAGTGTTGTGAGCAGATCTGACTGATACACACACTTGTGCACGCACACAAAATTTTGCTACGGAAAATAATATGCAACCCGTCAGAAAAAGGTATCATTCATTCCCAGCAGTGAATCACATTTACAGATAGTGATTTTATATTTGTTCAGCAAGATCCATACTATCACTTCAGTCATGACATGGTAGCAAGTCCAAATGTTATCTGAATAAATTAGAAAAAAGGCGTGGTTCTTTGGTTAACACTATGTGACTAACACCAGACACAAGAACTGTAAAGTACAAACAATCACATGAAAAGGCTTTTTTGGGAGGGAAGATGAATAAAGAAGGACAACTTTTAACTCTCAGAGAAAATGCATTATGTTAAGCTGAACCGCTGTTTAAAACCTCCTGTACTAGGAATAACCTGGTTAAGATATTATCAAATTACAGTGACACTGTTTACACTAGAACATCAGTTTCTCTACATCAGTTTTATACAAAAGAAACAAGGCACCGAGTGCTTCGGTGGTATACAGGCAGTATAAAAGTATGTAAATAAAATGCTACATACTGTATATTTAATACACTCATAAAAAATGGTGGATGTGTGCTATATCCATATAACATAGTGCTTCACAAGCCCATATTTTTATATCTTTTAATGAATGAATTAAAATGTGAAATACATTTTAATAACTTTGCTGATACCAGCACAATTCAATATATGTATTCAATAAGATCAGTTATTAGTTTATAGTCACCAGCAAACAAGTTTGAAATCATTTAAAATCAAGGGAACTATAATCTATAACTATAATTCTGGGCAGATCCAGCAGCCTTTACTCCTGGGAGATACCCCATTGACGTCAATAAGATTGCTCATGGAGGGCTCTGTTCTGCCACTGTTTCTCATGTTAATAGTACCTTACTCTGCAAATAACATGGCTGAAATTGATTGAACAACTCAAAGAATAAGGTATTGCTCAAAAGGAGAAAACGTGGTAGAGTCAGTGCCTGAATAGGGACAGCAGGTTCAGGCCCTTGATTAGTAGTATAGCACTTCAGATTGTTAACAGAGACATTGTTCTGCTCGTAGAGCATTTAGCTTTAAATTGTAAGACCACCTTTTATAAAAATAGGTAAGAAAGCTCTGTAAGAAAGTATACATACTGTGTAAGGAGAGATCTCTCCTTAAAAAAAAAAACAAAGAAAGGGAAAATTGAATAAAAGATTTCACTAATTGCGCTTTATCATGAAAATTACATTAAAAAGAGTTGTAATAAAGGAAACAGTACCAAGCATTAATGAACCTTGTGGTTTAATGGAAAAGGACAGCAAACTAGCTGTATAGTAATAAAAGATCATTCCTTTTTTGTGTTTCTTAATATTTCCTAAAACACTCAAACTGCTTAGAAATTTTTTAAAAATGAACAGTTGCAAAATTTACTATATCAAAACTTGTTCAAAGCTCAGCTCCTTCAAAGCTTCAGCTCCAAGCTCCTGGCCCAGTACCATGGCTTAGAAATGTCCACATATGTCAGTGCTACGGTAATGCTTCCCACTGTGCAGATTCACTCAAGTTCATACTTTGGAAATCAATCAAAAGTTACAAGTCAACACATTTTAAACTCTAGGGATACAGTGGATGATTGGAGGATTTGGGGAAAGCACATTCCTAGATTTACTGGATACAGGGAAAATTTGATTGCAATTTCCACACATATCCACTAGGGAAGAAGGATGATGGACAGCACTGCTACTTCCTTCCTGTCTGTTGTGGTTCTGCCACTGCTCACCAGTTTGATGGCTAGGTCTCCACAGAATCCCACCAGTAGATACTTCACAGGAGATGGAGTGAATTAGATAGCTGGCATGGCTTGCTCCTACTGATAAGCCTCTCAACACCTGGCAGATTTACTCCCTAAGATATTTACCCTCAGTCTATATCTATGTTTCAAACTTACTATGCTAGGCAGTGGCCCTCAAACACACCATTCTACTCCATGGCGGCTACTTCCCCAACCGGAAACAATGAAGTTACACTTGCATAGACCTGGATGGGATGGGGAGCTAATTAGCACGGTCACTCTGGAAACACAGCTACATTGCTTTCACTTGAAGACCTAGCATGTGTCAGGTTTGAGGGCTACTGCCTTGTACAGTAATTTTGTGCTATACATCTGCTCCTTTGCCTGAGTTGTACCAACAGAACCAACATAATCCCTGGAGAGAATCCAGCCTAATTCAATCTAACCCTAATAACGTGGGATCATGCTATGTACTCCATCACACCATTTTAAAAACAAAATTAGTTCACTGAAGTCAATGGAGCTGCTCCACACTTTAATATAGGAAAAACATAGGTAGCTAGCTTTTGGTCCAGGAACTGTATGCAGGACCTGTGGAAGGGAAGTATTCCTAGTCCCAAAAGGTAGCAGTGGCTCTTCAAGGCTGCTGTAATTCTTGCCATTTAGGTGACAACAATGGCAAATGACTATATACACCATCCAATACATAAATCTCTGCCTTTCCTATATCCCTTAAATATGCTGTCTTTAAAACCCCAGACCCACCCCACAGAGCAGGTCCATCGGGTATAACCTCACAAATCCTGCCCCACTTTGTATAGCAACAAAAAATTGTTCTTTCTGTGTATGGCTACCCATGGTTGTAAATAAGATTTGATTGTACAGCAGAATTTGACCCATGGAAACCATATAACAAATGACTATTTACAAATTTTCTAAATCTTAAGTGCATTGATGACATCATTTTATCAGGTTCTCATTTCTGTAGATCTTCCCTGCAAAAAAATATTAACAACGCACCTCCCCTAAAAATGACATCCAGCTAAAGTCCATTTACAAAACCTGGTAACAAATTAAACAGCATAGAAACCACAGTAAATTCTTATGGCAATATTTCAGGAGATGGAGGGGAAAAAGAAACAAGAGGAGAGAAAATTATTAAATAGTTTCAGGTCACAAATTTAAGTATCTCCTGATAGTTGGATTTTACCTCTGTTCAGACACATTTGCTTGTGTTCCAAATACCATACTCTTTCAGTGCTCTAATCTGATGATCCTATTGTACTTTTGGGGGCGGGTCTATTCTCCTGTTGATGACTATGAATTCCTCTCATTAACATTAATGGCAGTTAAGCATGCATATCAATGGGAGAATAGACCGTCTTAGAGTATATAAAGGTCTAGCTGTTCCTAAAAATTCAACATAAGGAGGGAAGGTAGTCTGTTTTACAACTCACAAGCCATAATATTGCAGAACTGCTTTAGACAAGAGAACAATCTTCCAGATAAATGTGATGGATAGGTAGAGAGCCTGATCCTGCTCTCAATTAAATCAGTGGGAGTTCTGAAACTAACAATTTGGAGAAGATTCAGGCTGAAAATAAGCTAAAAACTTATCACATTAGAACTTTCTGGAAGAAGGTTATTTTTTAGATTTTAATGCAGTTCCTACATGAACATACCTTAATCCTTTTTTTTTTTTTTTTTTAAGATCAAGTTTTCCCAACTTCCATCCTTCTCCACCATGTAAAACATTTGGGAGCTTTCTATTTCACTAGCAGTAATCTCAAAGGGCAGTATGCACATAATAGAAAGAGAAATTTATAGAAATGAAGAGTAGTAACAGAGGGGAACCACTGAATCATCATAAAAGGAATTATTTGGTCATTAATCTAAAAAGACAATTTGGTGAGAGAGAACATTTGATAAATGCAGATTGTCTATAGAACCTAACAGTGCAATTCACCCAAAACCAAGAAGAACATGGCATTTTAAGCTCAGCCTTAGTGCCTTATTTTAATAAGTGCTGCAGGCCTTGCACTCCCAAAGTCCAAAACCTGACAAAACTGAGGGTGTCTCACACCGACCTCACAGAAGGTGGCCCTGAGAGAAAAGGGGGAAAGAATACATTATACATAAAATAGTGCAGATAGAATAATTCTCTAGCTTAAAAATTCCCCAAGGCAGTTGATTTAGTTTATAAACAGAGCCTAAAATTCTAGTAATGGGACATATACTGTACACCAAATAATTGTTTCAAAACCTTATTAATGGGTTCAGAGGATTTTACTTAGATGTAGAAACTCTGGTATATTTCTCAAGTAGATAAACCTTTGG